CGATGGAGCCAATCAAGCCGCGTCAAGAATGCATCATTACGGCGCTCGCTGTCTTCGTGGACTTGCCATCATCGATTAAACCGATCACGCACGGAGAAAGACGGCAGGACCGCGACACGGATAGATGGATGGATGCTAAAGGCTGTACCTTATATAACGGGTAATAGCTTGCGCCACCTAGCCTGGAAATGTACATTCACTATGCCCGTGATTGGTTTAGTCGCTGATAGCGAACGGAGCGCCGTGACGACGCACTGTAGGCGCGACTTGATTGACTCCGTCCGGTCGTGGCGTCGGTTGTAATCTAACTTGGAATTAAACGGAGTACTGGTATACAAATGAATGACTGCAGAAAGCGTGCTTTGATGTGACCTCCTACCCTGCTGCAGAAGCCCCGCATCCGCTGACCCTTAGGGGGCGACGTCTGGTTCCGGGAATTGTCCCTTTCCGGACTATCAGACGAAATGCATCCAGCAGCACAGAACCTATAACCGAAACAATTGAAGTAGGTAGTTTTTTTTTTTTTTTGTTTTTTTACAGTAGAGCTGCATAGGGCTGCTTCCCCCGGGATCGTGTCCTCCGCAAAGAAATGAAGACGCCGAACTCTGGATACCTACCGCCATCTATGAGCGACGGCGACAAGCCACGTATCTGGTTGCCACCGTCGCTGATAGATGGCGGCAGCCTTTCCACTCTGCAGGGCTTGCCGACTTGCGGCCGGCCATTACTTTCCATTATACAGCTTCGCTGGTCTTCCTTCTTCACCAGAGTGGAAAGGCTGAAAGCTTTTTCTGATCTTCCTGCTGCGCGAAAGAAAAGTGGAAGTAGCTTCTCAATAACTTAAGAAGTTAGTATACGTCACTTGCACAAGTATTTATGTTACAGCGCTAAACAGTGTCTTGTATGTTGCATTAAGTCCGCGCCAGACCCTCGGACCAGCAGACCAGACCAGCACCGCGTGTAAAAAAGTACGTTTCTTTTTATATTTTTTTGTTTTGTATTAGAAAGCATTTTGTTCATTTCGCATAGCCATTAAACCCCCTTTCCCGTTTTATACACCACATCCCCCCCCCCCTCTAGCGAAAATAAGCGGAAAAGTGTATAACATCATGTTGTTCGAGACCAATAAAGGACGCTCCGTGTCTCGAAGGCGTAACCGACTTGCCAACTTCTTGGAACATTCCGAGAAATACAATATTTTCAATGAAATATCAAAATTCTAATTGATTTGCGTTCTATGATACCGAGGCAATTAGAGCCCCTGAGAACAATACGATATTTTGTCAAGAAAAGCAGAAATTGACAATTCTATAAACCTAACCCATAAAATGCAATGTGACGGAAAAGATAATTGTAGAGCCGTGGAATAAACTCTGTTTAAAAGATCTTTCAGTGCATGCGCCGAGGCGTTGATGTGCAAGAAAGTTGAGGATGTAAAATGTAATTGTAACAGAAATATGTTTTTTTATTCCCCGTATCTTTAAGGCCCATTCACACACTTACACTTGACCAGGACCGACGGAGACAAGACCGGTTTTTAAGCCTCTTGTGACGGCTTATATGACCGGCTGTATTGCTGCGCAGTAGCTCATAAGCCGTCGCAAGAGCCTTAAAAACCGGTCTTGACCAACACCACCTAGACACAAGGCCTCCGCACGCGTCATCACAGTCGGATCGATCGAGGCCTGTGATTGGTCCCGAGTGCTGCGTCAGTGTTCGGCTGGGGCTCGTGTCCAATCAGCGCGTCGAAGGTCGGGCTCGGGCCCAATAGCCGAGTTAGCGCGATCCGACTCTGATGACGTTTCATAGAGGGAGAGGAGACCATGCGGAGTCCTTCTGTCTAGGTAGTGTTGTCTTGACTCAGTCGGTCGTAGTAAAGCGCGAATGTGTGAACGGGCCTTTAGACCGGCTCAGTTAGACCCTAGAAACCATTTAGACCGTAGTGGTTGTAAAACATGTCTTCAAGACTTATGCACACATGGCTGCACCCTTTTAGCACCTTTACCTCAAGCAATGCAGCTTTTACAGTTACAGTTTAGTACGCTGAACTGTAACTCACTTATAAAGTCTTAAAACTGGTTCGACCTGATTCGCATTTTTGAGCAGGTAGAAATTTTAGTGTGCGAGAATAAAAATGGCGGACCTTGTTTCTATTGCACTAGAATCGAGTCAGTCTTCACTACGTTCGGCATCGACGTTTTTGTGCACCCTATCAAGACGCTTAGTTTCCACGATGCTACAGCCTATTGCAGAACCGCTGTGGATCTAAATTACGCCTCGTTCCCGTGAACTCGGGCAAGGCAGCGCTGCGGGAACTACGCTAGCTTTGACAACGTAACACATGCATGCAGTACATAATTTTGCGTTTGCTCCAACACTGACGTAAACCTTTAGTACTTACTACCTTGAGATCGTGCGCAATGACCTCGGAAAACGTAGTAATCTACACATCGCTATACTCTGCCATATAGATGGTCCTAATTTAAACAGTTACGTGCCACCATTACTCTATATAGTCTAGACGAGTTCCTTTCTATTATTGCAGAACGTGGAACGTGCTTTTTACTAGTGTATCTTTACCGGTTTTTCGTGCCCGTATTTTCTCCCTTCTGTATCCGTGAGGCGACGTTACAACTGCGTAATGCCTCATTCCAAGAAATCTGAAGTGTCTGCTCTCCCGCAAAGCACTTGGGTGAGCCAAAGACCGCAATCTACGGAAGTCGTTGGGCGAATGAGTGGGCTAATAATGCGTTTAAAGCTAAAAAAAAAAAAAGAAACGGCAGACGTTTGTTAGGCTATATTTGGCAGGAGATCGAACAATAGGGGGAGCTTTATCGAGCTTGTTCGCCCAACAGCCCGGTGTTTACTAACACAAAATAACAAAGGAATTTCACTTCGCCATGCACGGTCTGGACACGAGCGCTTCACTCTTACCAGTGCTGTGGTTGCACGAGGAGCGGCCATCCAAATCGTCACCATCGATATCGCTGATCAAAAACAAACAAGGAAACTCGGTCTGTTTTCCCCACAGCTGAAGCGTGCCGCCAGAGGCGTGACTGTACGATCTCCTGCCCAATATCCGGTGACAGGTTAAGAATGCAGTAGAGACGCTGCCTCCAGCGCGAGTCTTCTGTCTTTAAAAAAAAACGCAGGGTCTCTCAGGGATACTAAGACGATTCGAAGGCGAAAGCTCAAGCACCGATCCATTAAAGAAAAACGCATGGTGTACTTTGTTTCACGTTCTCTTTTTTCCTTTTAATTCGCTTTGTCATCCTTCCTTTGATACCTCTTAATATTCTTTGGCATCTTTCTTAATTTCGTTGCCTCTAATTCGCCTGTGTGGTCACTTAAACATTTTGGTACCTTTCCTATCGCCGACGTGTTTTCGCTCGAGGACGTCGACTGAACGATAAGACATATGAGGCTTTCGCCTTAATAATACTTCGACAAACGCTCAGCCAATACTTGACGGGAGGCTACAGAGGTGTGCTGGAGGCGGACATTTTACTGGGCTCCTAGCCTGCCCCCGAGCGACCGCCCAGTGAACCAGTTGCCGGGAACTCCAGCAAGCTCAGCCTCGGGCATCACGACAACAGGGACGCCTACGTCCTGTTAGCCTCCTTGCCTGGAGCTTCTACAACAGACTGACAGTATCGTGACAATCAATGCAGCCGGCGAGTCCCGCTACACATTTCCTTCCTGTCTCCAGGACACTTCCCAACGCATGGACTGTAGGTAGTACTTCCATTTTTTTAATCACCTTCCTTTTTACTCAATACGAAGCATGAACAAAGCTAAGTTCTTGGTTCTTGTTTTTCTTTACCTTAATTGGCATAAACACGGGAGTTGGATGCGCGTTTTAAGCGCTGTTCTATGATGATTCTACTATAGAATATAAGAGAGAGCCTATACAAACGTATCTTACTCTGGCGAATTTTTTCGTTAGAACGAGCAAGCGACAGAGAGGCCGTTGACGGTCGCGTGGCCCTGTCGAACCAAACGATTTGTCGAGTCGGATGCCAGGATCGGCTAAAGTTGCGTTTATTATCGCTCAACACGATGTTGTTGCTGCGGCTGCTTTTGGTGTCGTGCTTGTCGTCCGTCTCCCTTGGCGACAACGGCGTTCTTCCGGAGCGTACAAAGTACCTGGCTCGAAGTGCAACACACACTTGAGGAAACACGGGGCTGGGCTGGGAGGAGCGACATCTTCGTTTTGTCTTCTGACGCGGGCGCAGCTAATACGCAGACACACATACACACTCACGCACACGTGGGTCGCTGGGGGTGGAGGCGAAGTCCGGGAATGTCGGGGGAAAGGGGAGGGGGGAGGGTGGTTTGCGAAAAAAAAGGGGGGAAGTGGGGGGGGGGGGGGGGGGGCGAACGTCCCGCCTAGCAGCCGGGACAACCACTACATGTATTACAAAAATAGTTTGTGTTTTTCTTTTTCTCCGGAGTGTGGACGTTATCCCGATCGCTGGCGGGACACCGCCATATTTAAGGATCTCCGCAAAAACGGGAAGGTGTCGCCCCGACGAGGCCTGGTACACCACACCGCACTTGTTTTTGAAAAGCAGACGCCTGTTCCTCTGCACGTGACGCCAGCGCGCTCAGGCCCCGAGCCTACGACGATATTTGGACAAACCACTGCCCTCTAATTCTGTACAAAGTTGTGAAACAGAAATCGTCGGCCTCTTCTAATATACACGAATTAAAACTAAAACAAAAAGACGCTATTAAAGACTCGTATTCTTTACTCGTTCATCATTCCGTTGCCGGAAACCTTTCTACCGCTCATCGCACCACGCTGAGGGCCTCTTCTCAACAGAGCAGCAAACAAACACCGCTGGCAGAGGCTCGTCAAACATCCGCCCTGTCGGCGATTTCACTTAGCGCTCGAGGGTCACCCATTCGCCACGAAAGCATACGTGCGTGGACACGCGGTTCCTGTGGAAGGTCGCTAGGGTCTTAAGAAATAAGATACCTTTTTTTTGTTGTTGCTGTTGTTCCGTTGACGAACAAAGAACGGTGATGGTTCCTCTGGTGGACTAGGCCCTAACGACGAATTTGGGGGGGACGACGCCGACACAACTGCACAGCCCAACAAACAACGAAGGCGCCAAATATTACAGTTAAAAGAACTTCGTGTCGGTTGACTTCGCAGCGACGCGACACTGTCCTGAAAACAACGAACAAAATACGGAATGTACCACCCATAGTGCGCAACGAGCCCCAATGGGCCACGAATGCCATTTGTAAGAACCGCCTCCAAGCATGCGCGTGCGTACCTGCGCAAAGCGACCCTTTCTGCCTTCCTGCGTGCCCGTGAACAAACCCGACTGCGACGATTTGGTTGTTAACCTCCGAGCAGACAACGGCATGGTCATGCAGTCCAGTGTCCGCTATTGGTAGCTCCATTCTGACGCCGTTAAACGCCAAACGACGTAATGGGTTCACACTGGCGGCGACGTCACGCGGACAAATAAAGGGAGCAGACGTCCTTACACTAAATTCGGTGTAGAGGTCAACTTGATGGGGGAGGAACCGCAGGCTACCGGAATGCTTCTTTCCGCGTTCGGAAGAGGAAAAAAAAAATAGATGCCCGCGCTGCCAGTTGAACAGCCCGAGGACGCGGCTTTCAAGTCCAGTTTTCTCCACGAAAAGCAGCGCGCCCTCGGGGGGTCGGGGGGTTTGGAAGGGGGCCGGGGACTCAGCGCATATCACAGCCCGGGTATCACTCGCGCGGAATCCTCGGCCCCGGTGCCGGCCGGCCGGCAGAAAAACAAAAAACCGCGGCTCGGAAAGAAAAAGTGCCGAGCGGACCCCGCGACGGCACCCGCTTTGTCTAGGGCTCCCTTCGCGCCCTGTTCAAATGCTCGTGATCTAGGAGCTCGCGTCTTGGCGCCATCTTTAACGACAGGTGCTCTAAAGTGGTCTGTCTTCACTTTGTGCTGTTGTGGCTCTCCAACGAGGCGGTCACAGTGAAAATACATCATACAAGACACAGTCTGCGAACAGATTCGAACGCAAGTCACCGCAAGATCCGTGCTTCGAATGCCGCATGGCAACGAGTTCGAGAAGAAAACTCGGCACGCGGCTTTCGAACCGCGAATATCACGGTGACTCGAGCTTTGAAGACTGTCTTTTATAGGATGTATAAGCAGCGTGACCCCGGCTTTATAGTCGTCATATACAGACTGTCTACAAAGATTTTAAAATTGGGTTGTGGGATATTTATACAGCGTATAGTTGGTCTGCCATTTAAAGTTGCGACGAGTCACTCGCTGTAGATGAGCAATTTAGCCAGTGCAGTACAACCGCTAGCCTGGGGTCTTTAACGTGCACCATGTTCGAGGCATAACGTATGTTTGAAATTTAAGCAAACCTGCTGCTAAGATGGTTCGGGCGTGTCCGCAAGATAATCCCGTCATCATGCCGGCAGCGGACACCGCGTCTCTTGCATGCTGTACGAGCAGTGCGACTTAAGAAACCAAACATTATCCGCACATGCGCGCCACTTCTAATAAAATGCGCAATCGAAGTTCTTATTTTTTTAATACTTTTTTTTTTCTTTTTGTGCCAAGAAAAGGGCAAGCAACAAACCAGTTGGATGACGCCAGACGGCCCTCTGTCTTTTAGGAGCACGGCTTTGATGCACCTTCACTCTCGCTCAGGGTCAGCGGGGTCGCCGTTTGACAGTGACTCAGAAGACGACAAGTCGGTAAGGAAGGGAGTTTTGATAACTGAAATATTAATATTTTTTTTATCAGCCGCGTTTTTTTTTTATTCGCATTCAGTGATGCATATTAAATCCTGACTGATGGAAGGTCATTGCTTGCCGTCTAACCCGAGCTGTTACTTTTCCTCTCTATACGGCTTAAATGAGGGAAAGTGTACAAGAGTTTGATTGCGTGTTTTATAAAGAAAGAAAACGATAAGTTTATTTTGACAGTCCACGGTGTTTAGACTTAGCAAAGCTGGAAAATCAAGTTAGAGCCACGGGAAGACGAAGTTATAGACCTTTATAGAGCACCTTTAAGACCCGATGGGCGACTCGCATCCTTTTGCTTATACGAAACGGAAGTGTACGACGAACAACTCCTTTGTAACCTGAACGTAATACTGCTTGTGACAATATGCTTCTATATAGGGCGACGTTCATAACAGGCACACCGAAGTCCCTTTCGTGTCATAGCCTTTTGCTTTCTTTCTCGGTGTGGACAGATGCCCTCCAAGTGGCGCAATAACTTGAGGCGTTTCTTTTTACAACGCCGGGATCCTCGTATACATGGCTTGCACATGACGTCATCCAAAGAGCGCTCCGATGGCAACCAGAGAAGAGGGGAAGAAGGAGCTCCCCTCTTACCGAGACCTTGTTTTGTGTCTCCCAGGTCAGCCCATTCGTCGCTATTCTCCCCGAAACATTATGGAAGATTAGCCCGTCACTCAAAATTCCTATAAAAGCAGTTTTCCTCTCTCTATTTCATGGTGGCCAAAAGCACGCAAGGTGACGTCAGTGCAAGCCATGTAAATCGAGAGGGCCCGTACATTCCAGGGCAGCGGCTCACACTGCTTCACACTGCGATAGCAGACAGCCTTTCTCGCGAGCGTCTTATCGTCAGAGATTGCACCGGAGGCCTCCAACGCGAGCTCCGTCGACATGGCCGCGCCTCGTAAAGCGGAAGGGAGCCCAGACCGCCCGGAAAGCCGATTGTCCGTGCCGGGAAGGGGGGCACCGCCGCGGCGCCGGGGAGCCCCAAGCGCGGTCGAGCGAGCGAGCGTGTGCGAGCGGGCCCTCCGCTTGGCGGCCTCGCCGGGGACGGGGGTGAGAAGACGACGGTGACCGGGGAACATGGACCGCCGGTGCTCGACCCGCGCGGGAAGGGTGAGAGGTTGGCGAGGTGACAGCCAGGGGAGGCGTACTATCACAGAAGACATGACCGTGGATGAGATAATAAGTTAGGGGGCGAAGAGACGAGGACTAGCTCAGGCCGGCTGCAGCCCGTCCGGGGGCTCGAGCTCCTTGCGGTGGTGCGCCTTGAGGTGGGCCTCGAGCTCGAGCGAGGAACCGCAGATCTTGGCGCACAGGTTGCAGGCCATCTTCCAGGCCCAGGCGCCGTTGTGCGGCTCGGCCTCGTCACCGGGCCGGGGCTCGGCGCCGCCCTGGATGACCGAGACCTCGTTCGCCTTCGGGCCCAGCATGCCATTCAGGTAGGCCGGCCCCAGGTACGGGTAGAACAGGTCGTGCGGTGGGGGCGCCCCGAAGTCTGGCATGCCCGGGGGCGCAGACTTGGGGGGCCCCAGCAGCGCCGGCAGCTCGATGGACATGCGGCGGCCTCGCCGCGAGCTGCCGTTGTTCCACATGTGCGTGCCCATGTGCACCTTGAGGTTGCCCTTGGTTGTGAAGGCCCTGCCGCACACGGAGCACTTGAAGGGCCGGTCTCCCGTATGAGTGCGCATGTGGATCTGAAGGGAACTGGAGCTCGAGAAGGGCTTGTGGCACACCTGGCACACGTGGCGCGGCAGCCCCGGCGGCCGGCGCAGCGCCGGGCTCGGGGCGCCCGGCCGCTTGCCGCGACTCGCCTCGTCGGGCCGGGGCTGCTCGGCGGGGCTGGGCGGCCTCACGGGACTCGGGGCCGGGGGACTGGGGCCCCCCGTGGCCGAGCTGGCCGCGAACAGTGTGGCCGGCAGGTCCCGGATCTTGTGCGTCAGCATGTGCTGCTTGAGGTTCCCCTTGGTGGAGAAGCCTCGCTCGCAGACGCTGCATTTGAACGGTCGCTCTTTGGTGTGGCTCCGGTAGTGGATCTCGAGAGCACTGTTGCAGGCAAACGTCTTGAAGCAGATCTGGCAGGTGGTGTTGGGCCGCCCGGGCGCCGCGCCCGGGAACGGCAGGCCCCCCAGCGGCGCCGCCGCGAACAGGCGGCCTGCCGGGAACGGGTCCCCCGGGCGCAGCGACCGAGGTGTCAGGTCCAGCGGGGCCCCGTTCACGGGCGGCGAGGACGGAGGCGACGGCGGGCTCGACCGCTCGTCGCCCGTCGACATCTCCGAGCCCGCCCGCGGAGAGAAGCCCGGGGACCTCTGGCCGCCGGCGTCCGCGCCGCGGCCCAGGAACAGCGGCTGGTCCTCGAAGCGCCCGAAGCCCGCGGCCAGGCCGAGCCCGAAGGGACCGAACGGCAGTGCCGGAGTCTGCAGAGACGTCTTGATGCCCTTCACCTGCGGGAAGGAGACGGGCCCGTCACGTCACTCGCCGCCGCGTCGAGAATCTGCTCATCTCTGTTCGCAGCAACTGCTCACACCGATAACGTGACAGAGGTGCAAAACCTTGCCGTGCACTCTGAGACGTCCCTGAAAGTTTAATGCACCGCGATGCACTCGAAACGCCAAGCACCGGTCTTCTTACAGCCAAATCAGCCAATGAGAAGGACAATCAGTATCTAGCTTCAGCGACCATGTGATCTCAGTGTCAAAAGGTATTTTTATTGTATTTGTTGCATTTGGTGATGTATCAGTCTCGAAGGTTGAATAAAAACAGCTGAAGAAAGTTGATTACCCCGTGCTTGTTTTCGCGTGGCATAATCAGTTCAAGTCACGCGTACAGCAACACGAAAAGAAAATTAATATAGAAGATTCTGCACAATCAGTGTTCACATTCACATTACGATTATATTTCCTTCTTTATGGGGCCCTTGTGTTTTCTGCAATACCCAAAATTTCTTAACGTGGATATGAAGTTGAGGAGGTTTGCCGGTTTAAACTTTCTTCGCCATATTTTGCACGTATCTGTGTATTTCTAGAATGCATGATTGATATGTCGTAAGTCGTTTGGAGTATCTCCGCAATATAACTGACTCTACAAAAAATGTATAACTGGGTTTGAAATTTGGACTACTCCGACTGCAAAACCCTCGAGGTGCGATAAAGACAGCATTCTGATTGCCTTTTTGGTCTCCAGCATTGTCCTGAGCAGAAGCAAGTTTCGTAGACGTTGTGCCTCTAGAGAACAGCCTACCGCTTTGTCCATCATGCTGATTTCCTTGCAAATTTCTTTCGCGCAGGAACAGTGCCAACGGAATGTGGCAGTTGTTAAGGAACTGCAAGGCGACGACTAGGTCCCGTGGTCCCTCTAAGCTAGATGCTGCGCCGGACATCTCTACCCAGCGGTCGAAAAAGCTTTATGTTTTCGCCGCGTACTGTTTCCCAGGTTCACCGTCTTCGGGCGTACTTTCGCGAAACTTATCTCCGTAGTCCTCCACCGTAAAACGAAAGCGCTGAAGTAATGCTAGTTTGGCCTTTTAATACTGCATTGAGTTTCCAGAGAACAATCGGCTGAAGACCTTCAACGCCTCACCTACTGAGCACATACTGAGGGCATTGGCCCACTTTGCATTCAAACAGTTTTATCCCACGGCGAAGTGTTCAAACCGTTCAAGGTACGCGTCTAAGTCATTCCGTCTCTCATCAAAGCCTAAGATCAGCTTATGCGGGTTAATGACGATTAAAGGACGTTCCGCCAGAGCTCAAGATAACTCGGCCAAGGCAGACGGTCCTTTGAAAAAAATAAATACATGTTTTTCCTGACTCACTCTGACTGGTCAAGTCGATTATATCTAGACCAGTGATTGGTATTCTGAGGGATTCTCGGGCAACATAGATGAAGGAGCCTGTGGAAATGTCCGTTGTGTTCAGTTAGAGCTGCAGCTCTGTCCATTGCTAACGGTGAGTTTCTCCAACGATTCTCCGAAGCGCAGACTGTTGCTCTTTTGCAGTCGATAAGTTGTAGCTCGGTCTAACCATCGGTTGTAAACGAACGCGCGCATATATCATAATAATAATATTAATATGATTTTTATTAAGCAAATGACGAAAGGAGACCAACGGAAAAGTTGCACAGATAGAGCTTGACGTTTCTTCGTCCCCCACTTCACCTTCACCCGTAGTAAGCATATAGCGTTCAAACTCATGCAAGGACAAGTTACCGTGGTTTGCTCACCGAGGCTCATTGAAAGGACTGTGCGACGGGATTCATGGGTTGTGCCTTCCATCATACTACGACAGAAGTCGAAAAAAAAAAAAAAAAACGCATGCCAGAGTGAAAAAAATCGCGTCCATGAACACAAGCAGTGTTTGGAAATCACCACACCTTTTGGAGACTCTATGGACCCCGCTTGGCCTAAGCTGAAGGGGCATGCTATTCTACCTCGTCGAATATTCGGCCAGTTCAAGATCACTTGCCTTCTTTCATATATATAAAGTGCTTGTTTGTAAGCGATGGTGACGTCCGCATTCATTTTTTGCTTTATGCGCCCTTTTCAGTCACGTTGTTGCGACCTCCCGAATTTCGATTGCACTACTGCCAGGTGCCGCCGCAGCAGGCGTTTCGGATCTTCAGCGCAATGGACTTGAGACATGCTTTTTTTTTGGTACAGTTGGGGCGTTAGACACAACAGGCATCGGAGATATTGCGCAACTGTATGGCCGAACACTGTTGTAGCCAACTCATTGGGCATGTGCGCACTACTGGAATATGAAATATTACGCGGGGCAGACGTAAGACGCCACAAAAGCGTAAGAATTTGTGAGACGCCTGGAATTCCTAAGCAGCAAGGCGTGTTTCCTGCGTCGAACCTCACTCCACCTTCAAACGAAAAGCGTGTCTTCCCTTTATACGCGACGTATCACGTCTTCCGAGTTTCACGACCTGAGTTTGCTCGAATTTACATACAGTTCAGAACAACTTCCATGAAGTAATCATCCACTGATTTTCCGATTAGCAAGATGGCAGACGAAAGATGCGACCTCTCCAGTCACTGGAAAGTGCGAATAGTTTAACGATTCCCACGACGTCAAGTTAACGGGGCATATGGAACTCCGCTCACAAATAAGGAACTGAGACTGTGCAGCGTCCCTCGCGACGTCAGCGCGGATGACCGTCCGCGGGCAAGCATCTCTACATGACGTGTCCACGTCACCTGATTCTCGAGCGCCGCCAGCGACGTGAGTTCCGACGGCGGTCGTTCGGGGCTCAGCGGTCGCAGCAGGGGCTGCTGCTGCGGCGGGTGGTGCGGTGCAGGCTGTGGCGACGCCGACCCGCGCTGCGGGTCACACTGCGGCGGCGGCGGCGGCGGCGGCGGCGGTGGCGACCCCGGCGGAGAAGCACACGGCTGCGGCGAGCCGGTCTTGGCGGGCGACGCGTCCCGGGGCGGGCCGTGCTGCGGAACCGCCGCGTCGGAGCCGTGCATCCGGACATGCTGCTGGAGCACCAGCGAGTTGGTGAACTGCTTGTGGCAGACGGGGCACTTGTGGAGCACCCTGAGCGGCGGCTTGACGCGGTGCACGCCCATGTGCGTCTTCAGGTTGCCCTTGGTGGTGAAGGCACGTCCGCAGATCTTGCAGCGGAAGGGCCGCTCGCCCGTGTGGGTCCGGTAGTGCATCTGCAAGGCGCTGCGGCAACTCAGCACCCGATGGCAGATGACGCACTGGTTCGGGTCGCTCAGCTTGTGCTCAATGTTGTCCACGAGCTGCTGAAGCTTGGAGGTCTCCGACGGTCGTGTCACTTCCATCAGAGTCTCCCACGAGTTGTCGTTACTTCCGGGCTTGGGCAGCAGGTCCTGGTAAAAGGCAGGGTCGGCGTGAAGGGGCACCGCGGGCTCCGAGAACGACGTCCCGCCGGCGAGGAAGCCGCCCGGGTAGTCCTCCGCCGAGGAGCCCGAGTCGTGCTCTTCGTCCGAGCCGCGGTCCTCCTGCGCCACCAACCGAAAACGGGGTTCGCTCGCTTCGCCGCTGAGGCACCAGACAACCGAGAAGAAATTCACCGGTCTCGGCGCCTTCTCCGACAACTTTTTCTGTTCCTTGTACATTTTAAAATTAGAATCTTTTGTATGAAAGTTTAGACCGCCCAACGCTTAGTCTGCCTTTAAGTGGCGTTCGGGTGTCCCAAGCTGTAGATGGATCCCTTCTGAGCGGACGCTTCCAGCTTCCGCAAGACATTGTCCTGCCCAGCTTTGACTGCTAAGTAACTGATGATGTTCCTTCAGAGGATGTGTTCGTGTAAAGCCACGAGAAAAGCACGCGATACGTGACAGACGTTGGCCGTGGGCGACGCTATGCCGTATGCGAGTAATCTGAAAAATCTGGAGCGTCACCATACGTGCGTGTCTTTCGAAGAGGATACAACCGGGCCATTGTACTTTCCTTCACTTTTTACGAGTTTCCAACGTAGAGAGATGACGCGCATTTAGGCGAGAAAACAGCAACCTTTGGCCAGTTGTTCGACGGCATCTCACGGCTTAAAATTAATTAATGTTTTCTCCAGTTCGCACTGGTGGCGCTTGATGCAACTAAATATATCTTTAGCCTAAGGAACAGAAAAACATCGATGGGCCTTGAACAGAGGTGTGCCCTTGTTGTCCAATAATAAAAGTAGAAGAGGAGAACTTCTCGTGGATCGACCGAAGAGAGAATGAACCAACTCACTTTTGTTGACACCACAAGGGGCGTTTCTACTGCGCGCCTGTATCGACCAGCAAAACGCCACGCTCTCCGCTCAGATAGGAAGTGGAACGAACGAACGAAATTACCTCTGTGCGATGAATTTGTTTCTTAAAAAAAGTATCACTCCAATATTGAAGAAGAACAAAATGTAATGATGATGGTTGAAGAGAAGAAAGTAACCTTCACAGTCCTTCATAATAGCGCGCCAGTGTATATGTTATGTAAAATTTCGCACGAATAAACACTAATGTGGTGGCAAAACAGCTGAACTTTCTCGATGCAGGGACTGGTACGCTATGGGAATAACAAATGGGGGGTGTATGTGTCGTCATGTTTCGCCAGGGAGGCTTTTCTCTGGGCTTACGTGCAGAAAACAAGTTGCCCGACGAATTCAAAGCACCGTATCAGAGCCCCTGGAGAAAGTGCTTCTTCCAACGGTCCGCTGCACAGAGGGTAAGCGGAGGAGCGGGATAGTCTCCGCGAAAGGACGGGCGCGACTGCGGTACTTGGGGGATCGGTGCTGGAAAGGAACCTCCTTATGCCAGAGTGTGACAGCTGATTTCTCGCTAAATGATTAAACTTTTTCGTTATGTGAAGAAGTCAAGACTCTTAGGGAAATGTGGGCTCTCTCCCTGGTGCTTCTAGAATGAGGGAGGCAGTCCCTTCCAAGTGCTTTCTCTCTATGAGCTTCGACCAGCTTCTCGCTTATCTTGGGGGATCAGCAGTCGGGTGTGGAAGCACAAAGCGGACCTGGAGCGTGTGCAGCCAAAGCTCCCGCCAGAGAACCCAGGGATCCCTACGCCTGACTGTTGGCGACGCGTGCAGGCATCGTGCCGGCGAGCGGTCGTCTAATCACCTCTGAGTGTCGCTCGCTAAAGGTCCCATATAAGAAGTGTTAACGTACAGAGCGCGACACTGTTAGCGCGAACAAGTGATTGCCGGTTTTTCCAGTTTTTTCTCTTTGAAACCAAGGGATATCATCCAAGGTAATATTGCTACGGAAAGAGTTAATTTAGTTCTATAATGTAAGCCATTAAATTTGGTGCTCGGTAAGACTATTTAGAAGAAAAATGCGAAAATGCGCCGATGTCCTGTTCGCGCTAACAGTGTCGCGATGTGTACCTGGTGAAATGGCTCCATTACATCTTGTAACCAGTATCGAGAAATTAAATCATCTATGAACATTCACAACGTACAGTTTAACTTTTCAGCGGCACTTCTTTCTGACAACAAATATAATGGTAACTAAAGGCACTGGATCTTGGTAAGGTAGCGAGCGCCACAATGCCCTGCCTGCTAGCCAGGCACAAACAGATGCTAACCCAGAGACGACCAAAACCTCGCAAGGCGATTGGCTGTTGTTTCTGCTGCCATTGCCCTCTCCCTCCCCCCCCCCCCCCCCCCCCCCCCACTCCCCCTCCAATCGTCATTTCGGTCCATTCGAATCTTCGAAGCTTTGAAAGGGTCGTTCTGAACCAGTCGCTCCAAGATCGCTATGTAGCATCATAGTACTGTAAGCGTCCCTCGCCAATATAAGCATCTTTGGTACAGTGTATGTAATCAACCTATCAATCCTGTTGATCTCTACGCATTTCTTATAATGATATTCTTCTTCTTAGATTTTTAAAGACAGGAAAAATATGTTTGTATACCGCCAAGCACTGACGCCGTATGGGTTGGCAATGCCAAGATGTCCGTTTGTTTGCCGGTGTGTCTATAACATGAACGGGGTGTATAAAATAAATATCTTTAGAAAGCAACTTGTCACCGCGAATTTGGATCGGCTCACTAAAAATGGAAATTCCAAGGAGAAACTGCTGACTTCGTGAACCAAAATGGCAACAATGGGGTGCTTGACGCTACTTTCCAAAGATCTAGTGACACCAGAACCACTAATAGGATGAGAACGGGAGGAGTTTCAGTTCTCCCGCCTCCAGCATGAGCTTCCTACCTTCGGCAGCGCTTCGGCGTCTCCTGCCTTCGAGAGCGCGCAGGCAGCCGAAGCACGGCGGAAGGCACGAAGCGCGTGCAGGAGGCCGGGCGTTTGAAAGAGACGTCCTGCCATACTCTGACTATAACGGTTGTGTCTGTCACAGGACACGCCTCGGGACGCGGCTCTGTTCTTTCCGGACCGACTCTCTGGACTCGGCAAAGCTGGGCCTCACCTCCGGGTAGTCCTCGGGCTCCGCCTTGAGACTGAGCGCCGCGTCGTCGTCGGGTTCCGGAGACCCCGCCGACGTGGTCACGTTGGAGGCGCTCGTTTCGTGGCAGGGCGAGGTGCTCCGGGTCCGCGAGTTGGAGAGCCCGCTGAAGCCTGCCGCCGCTTCGTCGCCCCTAGACGAGACAACAGCCAGGGCCCTGGCCAGCGAGTGAGGCCCCGGCGGCGGCGACGAGGAAGGCGGCGGCGGCGCCGAGGGCGACGTCGGGCTGCGGTCCCCGGGGGGCTCGAGCGGCGGGAAGTGCTTGTCCAGGTGCTCGGGAACCGGGTTGGGGTTCATGCGCACGTGGGGGTACTTGGCCCGGTGCCGCTGGAAGTGCACCTTCAGGTTTCCCTTGGTGGAGAACCTATTGCCGCACACGTTGCACTTGAAGGGCCGCTCTCCCGTGTGCGAGCGAATGTGGATCTGCAGGGCGCTGTCACTGCCGAACACCTGGATGCGGGGCCAGAAAGGATACGGTCAAATGCGCATTCAGACATCTATTTAGCGGCTGCCTAATACTCGGCCGTTTGTGTACGCATACACAAACGGTCGAAACGGCATAGTTAGTGCGAACAGGTGGTTCCTGGTTTTTGTCATGATGCCGTTCAGGCTAAAAAGAGTCACTCAACGTAGAAGAACGATGGACTTTCTACTAACGTCGATGGGAATATATGATTTTAGGAGGTAGGCTGTGGTCATAAAAATATAAAAAAGTAACACCGATGACCTGTTTGCGCTAACCACGTCACGCAGTGGAAATTTCGCAATTAGGTGTGCACTAATTCGGAATTTACACTATCCCGATTTTCACGTGCGGGTTTGCGCCAAGCACAAATCTTTTACGCCTACATTGACACACCCTATGTTACGCCGCATTAAAGATCTAGGTGGTAGCCACTCGCCTCTGAAAACGAAGGAAGAAAAATGTTGTGTATAAAGAGGACGGTTCAGAGTATCAGATGGCCTTCTTCTTATCAAACGTTGTGCTTTAGAAGTTTTAAAAACCAACAGGCACGATAGAAAATATTTTTTGGGGAAAGCAGGGCGTTGTCCAGTTTAATATGACGCAACACACCGCAATTTGTCTTCCTGCTCCTTCACGCCTTTTAGAGCACGTAAAGAATGTCCTTGCTGGTGAAGAAGAAAAAAAAAAAGCTTCAAGTGCGCCTTTAATCTAGGACTGTCTCTGCTACCGTCAGTCAGTATTCGAATTTTCCATAGATACATGCCATTTAAAGGATTTGGATCATACTAATTCCAGAAGACGTCCCAACGGGCCTATCGGGGCGACTTCATCTTTTATTTTCTATCAGACGGATATAACTGGGGCAAAAATAGACGACTCTTCGAAGGTACTGCCTGTCTGGATGTTCGTACCAGGCCCTCGTCAACACAGTGAACTTGTACTGATGTCCTAAAAACTACAACCAAAAAAGGTTTCGTAGAAGTCAACGCCGCCGACGCTACAAATCATAATCTGTAAGACGCTGCGCCACATCCCAGCTTCACTTTACGACAAAATAAACTTTTCTTTCTTTTATTTTACATGCGGCGTATTTTTCTATGATCACGGCCTTCATATGGCGACTGCTGAACCGGTCACAATAACTACAACCTGGAAATAACCGCCCCCCTTCCCCCGTACAAAAATGGCAGACGAAAAGAACGCTGGGTGGACGAACGAATGCATGCAGCCGAGCCCTTTTAATCGGGCGGCGGCTTGCGCCACCTATATATACAGCGTTTCTCTCGGAGAGAGGGAGGGGAGGGCGAGCCCACCTTTCCGCAGAAGCGGCACCTGTGGCGCAGGTAGGCCTCGTCCGGCCGGGCGTCGCCTTTCCTGCGTAGCCGCGACGAGTCCGGCGAGCCCAGCCCGTTGAGCAGGAACGAGCCACCGCTCATGGTTTCCTGCCGGACACAGACGCCCAAGGGCCACCGTGAACGCTCCGACACGAACGTCTGGCAGAACACGCGGCGAGCGACTCAAGCCTGCTTCGGGCATTTGCGTCCGACTGCGACCGAGCGCGTTACAACCGCTTGTGTCCACCTACGACGAGAGAATACACTGGCGCCATCTGCGGTGTGGCCCTGGAACTCACTCGTTCAGGATACACTGGCGCCATTTCTGGTGTAGCCCTGGGACCCCCTCGTTCTGTGTGAATTTTACGAATCATTCCTTCACCGCGAACTTAAAAGATTTCTGGTAATGTTGTAAGAGACCATTTTCCGCGGATTGTTCTTACACTTGACCTCACAAATGGTGTCAAACCATCAGAATAGTTATATGCAGATCGGATATGTTTCCGGGCTCTCTGATAGATGGCGCTAGTGTGTCGGTGTTTTCTGTCGTCGTAAGCGGATACGAGCGATCGCGGTGCAGTCGGTTACCCCCAAGCACACACGCGCCTGAGCAAGCTTTGACGTAACGAATCGTACAGAGACGGCGTTCATGTGTGTAGCAAGGTCGAAAAGTTGAAGAGCCGCACACCGTGCGACCCTAAGATGCGGCCCTATACCTGACTTTATGCTCAGGAAGGCGGGAGAGCGGTTGAGTAATACAGCACACTACTACCTGCAACTCGCTAAATGAAGTTTACGCATTGCCACTTGGCTATAAAAGAAGCGCTAAGGCGGACAAATAAATGACCTAGAAGGAGTAAAAACACAGTCCTTAGATCATCTTGTCTGAAATAGTTTCGCTACATGATGAGACAATCTTCCCTCGGAACAAATCGAAGCAATTTAGATATGCGCGTTGCTGACTTTGGAAGGAAACCAAACAGATCGCTCGAAGAACCTAACGGGTAGACGTAGAGTCGGAGAAGCCGCTGTGTAAAAACTCAATAAATGTGTCTGCCTTTTTTTTTTTTTTTTTTTTTTTTTTATAAAATTTGTCGGATTTGTTGCAAAGATAGGCGATTGGAAGCGCCATCTATACATGAGACCTAGGTGCCGTAATATTTCGAATAATTGAAATTCCATGGGAAAGACGCTATATTGCTATACATGAAACAGCGCCGTTAGCGGCGTTAGTGGTGTTGCACATTACTGGGAGGGGCTCCGGGGGGTATACACAACAAGTGTGTGTGCATAGGGAAAGAAATTCTGGGGATTTGACTCGGCTTGAGAGTGCGTTATGTCGGTGTTGGAAGGGCATGTGAATCACTGGCACGGTCTTCCGAGAGCTCGCGTGAGCAGCGAGGGTTGCGTGCCTGGAGCGCCTTCTCCGTGTGCCGTTGCAGCAGCTCCAGCGTGTTGGGCTCGTCGGGGGGCGGCGGCGCCGTCGGGGGCGTGACGAGGCCGGCCGCGAGCGGCTCGACCTTGGGCTGGGCCAGGGGTTCGGCCAGCGGCTCCGCCGACGACTCGGCCGGCGGCAGCGCCAGGCGGTCCACCCCGTCCGGCTGCGGCGCGGACTCCTTGGGTCGGGTGTTGGGCGGCGGCGGCGTCTCCCGCACTCCAGCGAGCAGCGGCTCTGCCCGGCACTCCGGGCTTGGGCCCGATCTGGGCGCCCGAGGCGACGGCGGCGGGGCCTCGGCGTCCGGGCGGCTCAGGTTCACCGGCAGCGGCGCCGGCGACGCACCCACGTACGCCTGTAGCTGCTGGATGATGTGCAGCTGCACCACCTGGGACGGTATACACCCGCCAACATGAGTGCCGCGCTCACTTCCAATGAGAGCGCCAAATGGGACATTCTGAACGTTTACGCCGCGAGAGGTAGATCTTACCCTAAGATATAAGGACATTGGTTCTAAGGTGTGGGCGAATAATCTAGAGTGCAGCACTCATGAGCGCTTACAACGAGACGGTTACTATGGCAACCGAAGTATGCGTAACGTGTTGTAGTAGGATGCTAGAAGTTGTAACAAAGTCAGTCACACTCAAACTTAACTGTCTGAATCAGCCTTAACATGCATCGCGCAGTTGTGATTACACGACCGCATACAGGTGTTCATTCAGGTTGAAAAGGCAGAGGCGGGGCACTCTTGCCAGAATAAGTGGGTACTGCAACACTCACTTTCACTGCGTCTTACCCAGACATGCACACGATACCAAATAAAAGTTAATAAAAATCGTTACTCGTTACTAGCTTAAAAAGTAACTAAATACGTTACTTGTTACGTATTCTCAAAAGGAACGCGTTGCTTGACCTCAAAGGTATCGAGTTAATTTTCTAGTTACTTTGAGGGCCAAATAAACAACTGCTTTTGTTTCATGGTTTATGTATTTATTTTTATTTTATTTTTTTTTTTGAGAAGTCGTTCCACTTAACCAGTAGCTGCCTCGTGTTATGTTTCCCCGCTTCCTTGAGAATACATCTCCGGCGACGCTGAAGAGTCGTTCTACTGACGCGAGTCGAAGGAACGGCAGTGTTGAGCTTCAGGAAGAGCTGGTGAATCTGGGATTCCCCTCTCCGGTTTTGTCCTCCTTGCTTCTAATGTTCCAAGTTGACAATGGAACCTGTGCTTTCCCGTATTGGCAACCTCCGGGTTTGCATTCGGTTTTGTACACGATTCTACAAGGTTCAACCGAGGAACCTTATTGTGTTCACTGGATGAAGGATATTCCCAGCTGTAGAGTTCGACTGACGTGTTCAGCGACTAACCTTGCTGTATTATTGTTGTTTTCTTTTGTTGCCCATCTGCCTTGGTTGTAATAGAGGCATGCTCAGGCTAAAATTAAAACGACTCTGTTTGAGCGGTGTTGTACACGTTACTGCTCAAAAGTAACAAAGTGACCGTTACTTGTTACTTGGACTTAAAGGTGACTAAGTACATTATTAGTTTCTTTTCTAAAAAGTAACTAAATAGGTTACTCGTTACCGAAAAAAGTAAGTAGGTAGAAGGAACTTGTTACTGGTAACGCGTTGCGTACATGTCTGATCTTACCCAAATGTGCGTACCAGCGTCTGACCCAACTTCAGTTATTTATGCCAATGCCTTGCAGCGTCGAGTGTAACATGAATCAACGCTCTAAAAGCGCGAGCTCTGTACGCCAGCTCTTCCTTGCAAACATGAGCTACAACGTCTGAACATGGTCGGTACATCCATGCCGTTAATAAACCTAATTACTTAAAAAAGGTAAGCGTCTCAGTCCAATCTAGGAGATGCCATTATCAGACGTTCAAAGTGGACATGTTTTCGACTATTGAAAAGTTTCCACAAGCCAGCTGGCCCAGCACCACCTACTAGAAGGCCTGCTCACTTTCCCCCAAGTCGTCACGCTAATGGTTTGATAACGAGCAGCGCGGCTGTAGATTCGTACTTTTTAAAGAATAATTTTTTTTGTTTTGTTTTTTTAACGCTACGCCCCCAATCCCAAAATATTGTCCGTCCGTCTGTCCGTCTGTGCATTGTTCGCTAAATGTCGCGAGGAAAGAGGCGTCCCGTTGACGGGACTTGACCTATACACCTTGAGGAAATTGGCGGCACCTGAGCTATACGACAACTCAGTTTCCTCGCTAAATTTAGAGGGAAAATTCACGTCTTGTGGTCAAAACATCACCTCAGTTTCCCCGCTAAATTTAGAGGGAAAATTGAAGTCACGTGACCTATACACCGAATCAGTTATGCGCGCGGGAAAATTCACGTCTTGTGACTCACATGCCAATTCAGTTTCCCGCTAAATTTAGCGGGGGAAATCAACGTCACGTGGCCTGACGTCACGTGATCTATACAACCGTTCAGTTTCCCCGCTAAACTTCGCGGGAAAATATAAGTAACGCGAAACACCAATTCTCTATGATGCCTTACATGCATTATAGGACTTTGAAGAAAGGTCGCTACCAATTTTCTTTCTCTCTCTGATGTTAGTAGCCATACTTGCCTGACCTCGTTGACCCGTTCAATAGCCAGCAATGTCGACACAACTACCGTCACGTTTGGTGCTGTGGATCGGGAACAGTAAGGCCGCGTTCACACTGCTAGGGGCTCGTTCACACACCTGCGCTTGACTTTGCTACCGACTGAGACAAGATAGGTTTTGAAGCCTCTTGTGAAGGCCTACGACTGGCTGTATTGCTGTCTAGCTGATCGTAAGCCATCACAAGATGCATCGAAACCGGTCTTGTCTCAGTCGGTCGTAGTCAAGCGCAAGTGTGCGAACGGGCCTTAATACGCCATACAAACGACAGTATCCATGCAGACACTGTATGAGGTGCGCTTCTTCCGCAGATAATTATGTCATCGTGCCTGTAGCGAACACTGTCTTTTGTAGGATGTATGAGAAGTCTGGCTTAGGCTTAAGGCTTTGTAACGAGACGGTGTTGACCGACCTCGTCAAATATCTTTTGATAAAAAAATTGAAAAAGACTAGACTCCGAATCCATTGCCTCTGCTTTTAGAGTGCAGTTCTTCGGCGCCCGTTTCTGGCTTGAGCGGCGTCGGTGTCGGCGTAACCGCGCGGTGCATTATGGGTAAATTTCCCCGCTAAATTTAGCGGAAAATTTTCCCTGATAACTCTAACAGAAAAAGGTTCCCCGCTAAATCTTGCGGAAAAATTTCCCCCTTAAATCTAGCGGAAAAAATGTCGCTGCTAAATTTAGGGGAGAAATTTCCTCGCTTGATCTAGCGGAAAAAATTTCACTGCTAAATTTAGCGGAAAATTTTCCCCTAAATGGGAGGCGAGCAGGAGAAGAGGAGGAGCATAGCCTTCACTCCGTACCTTCCCCTCCTCCTCCTCAAGAGCTGCGCTCTAATTTGGTGTTACAGGGCGTCGTAAACGGCTTTCATTTTTTTCTCCCGGTAGGTAGGGTGCACGCACCTGTTGTTGCTGCAAGGCGAGCAGCGCCTCGTGCAGTGCGGCCAGCTCTGCGGGCGCCCCCGTGCCGTAGGCGAACTGCGCCACGGCCACTTTGGTGCTCTGGAGGGCCTCGAGGGCCACGTGCGTCGGCGGCAAGGGCCCCAGGGACACGCTGCCCGGGGAGTCGTCGTCGGCCATGCCCTCGGCGCGGGGGTCGTCCGCGCCCACGCACTGGCCGCGAATGCTGCGGATGCATGGTAAGGGTAAACACGGGAACCGAGGGACGAAACAGGAAACTCCCGAGTGCTTTCGGCGAATCTACATACCTAAACAATACATTGATTTGCGATCGAGGTAATACGAACGAATTTCGCTGGCCCGCGAAAGCTGCATTCTGCTTGCACGTGGGACAATGAGACTAACTAAAATGCGACTAAAAGCAAACAATAAAGGGAGAAAGAAGGAAGTCGAGGGGAAATCGAAATTGGACAAGGTTAGATCTTGGATTGAATCAAACAGAGAGGCGCGGTTTCTGCACGGTGAATACATTGAAGAGCTTTAGTAAATTGTTTTTGGAGTTCCATAACGATACCTGATAACGTCCCGATGCGTGCGCGAAGTTGTCGGAAGATTGTAGAGTATTGTTATCCGCATGCAAAAAGATATACTAAAAAAAAAAAAAAGATTGTGACTTTTTGCTTTTTGGAGAGATTTCTGCTCCCGTCCTACACTGTTAGAAAATTCCATCAATCTACGTGGAAAAACCGAATAGAACATGTCCCGTTTTCTAGAAATGCATACAATGTGCTGTTTGCTTTCAAAAATGGGAACTGTACCATATGCATTGAAATGTGCTATTTAGGCAATAAGTATGAGCTTATCCGTATAAATAAAAAAACCCTTACAAGACTACAGTTTATAGTCGGTTCAACTGGTATAAGCGAATTGAACGCGCCCAAAAGTGCCGGATATCCAGCAATTTTTATGGAACTCTATCAGACCGCGGAAGTACAGTGCCCGTGAGCCGTGTTACGCCGCGCGCAGGAAGACATCTCTCACCCGCGCATGCGCAAGCCGCTGCCGGCCGGCGTGGGCCCGCGAGCTGCGGAGTGCTGCTGCCCGTTCGGAAGGCGAGTTCGGCGTTGTTATCGCGTCGTCAGAGGCGTTCAGCGGTGCGCAGACGGCTTTGTTTTCCAAGGTACGTATACGTTAAGTTGTTCCTAACGCAGTGTTATTTTACTATCTCTAAGGGTGTCGTATATCCCAAGTTCGGGATGCCCAGCGTGTAGCGTCTCGTCTTCCCAGCTGCACTAGGCCTTTTATAGTTCCTGATTCGGGGCGGCATACTGCCCCACCCTACTTAGTATTGATGGTATGCTGCGCTGGGCGTAGTTACGCGGAAAAAAACTGGAGAAATAAAGTTAATGCAGAAAGACAGACAAAAACATGCATGAATTGGCGCAGACTAACAACTGTTTAACTTCTTTCTCTTTTTTCTCCCCCGACCCGTATTTCCAAAATTGCGGCTAAGAAAACGAATGGTTGATGTCTTGAATTTGTTGGCTTCTGAACTTGATGGTGTTTGCTCTAGCTGCCTCTTTGATATACGAACTGGATGGTGTGTTTTTGTAGCGTTTACCTGGGGCCTGATGTTTGCTCCGACAAGTTTGGTATCTTATTGAGTAGATCTATTTCTTCTTGTCGCAAAGCTAGTGATGGCTCACTGACGCACGCTCCGTGTCTACCCGAGGCCATGTGAAAAGCCTCGATTATTTCACGCTTTGTTCTGTCCTTTGATCTGGCCAAGATGGAAGTAGTGTCAAGGAGAGCTTTGCAGTTGCATTTTGAACAATGCGCTGCAAGGTTGCCAGGTGCTCGCAGTTGTCCGCATGCATGGTTGTGCTCCCTTAAGGCCGGTTCTCACATGCAGCGAAGCGCTGATGTAGCGCTCCTCACGTGCCGTCAGCTACTTATCGTCTGCCATGAGCAACAGTTTTGACGGTGCGATACAAAGCTGGTGAACGCTCCCATCAGCACGCGCTTAGCGCGAGGTAAGCGCTATGCTTGTAGCGCTCCGCTGCATGTGGGAACAGGCCTTTAGTCTCTCGTTAAGGCATCTCCCAGTCTGCCCGACGTAGGATCTTCCACACGACAGTGGTATTTTGTATACCACACCTTCGACACATTCAACAAATTTGCTCCTATGTTTCACTTGACACAGTGCCTTGCTGTTAGTCTCGTCCACTTCATTGTTGACCTTCCTGCATAATCCTTTGAGCCTGAAAGGGGCAGATAGTGACACTCTGACTTCGTACCTTGCGGCGATGTTCCTCTGCTACTCGACCGTGTGAGCGATCTTGGCAGCTTGCTAAATATGCGGTGAAATAAGGATGGCACCTGCTTGATGCAGAGAAATAGTGCAGGCTTTTGCATCTTAGGAATAGTAGCGCATTATCGCCCGATATTTTGAGTCACCCAGTAAACTTATCCGCGCTGAGCCAGTAATCAATCATCGTCGTGGTAATACTCGTGTGCGTGCCGCGGATGCTCCGGGCGTTTTGCGTACTAAATTAATGCCATGTTTTCAGGACTGATATTTTCTAAATAACTTGAGCTTCTGATAAACGAATTTACTTCGAAATTACCCCGGTCGAGTTGAAACCTTTATTGTAATAGGTGGTATTCACTGGACGCCACATCGGAGCTCTCTGAACGCTGCGCATGCTCAGAGTGAACTCCCGCTTATGGCCTGAGGAGGCCCTTTTTATGTAGAGTAATGCTACATGCACGACGTCGTGCAGCTCAACCGGAAGTGGCTGTACGCACGACGCGCCTTGATGTTCTTTGATTGGACGACCCCAATCCTGGCCATAGTGGCAGAGCTTCGCTCTGCCATTAAAATTACTGATTTAGGGGTTTTGGACGACGCTCAGCAAATTTCTAATTGGAACCATATGACTATTTTCAGTAATTAAAAAGTTAATTAACGAATTTTAATTAATTAGCCGACTTATCGCGAAGATGAACCACCCCCAAATGCCCCCTGGGCGTATAACTCACTCGCACAAATCGGATAAGTGTAGCTTTCATAGCTTTTTTTTTTTAAAACAAAACTGTAAGAAAAAAAAAAAAAACGCTCGGTGTACCAGACGCATAACGATTCCTCAAACGTATTGCAGTATTCCCATGTAGATATTAAGGGTTTCATTCAGCTTGGTCAGACTTTCGCTGAGGCATTGTCAATTACATTAAACAAAGTGTCTAACTTTCGGCAGCAATTCGGAAAGGAATATGTTTTGTAGAGCAGCATATTAGCTTTAGCATTTGTGTTTGTTTGGCACGTTCAACAGCAACCTGGAACATGTTGTACCATGTTTTTGTTGAAACTTTGAACTTAGAAAGGCAAAGGCCTGATGTTAACGTGCTGCTTTCTAGACACCCTTATTCACAATTCGCTTAAAAATATTCGTTGCTCACATTAATTGGATGTGCTGCAGTAACTGCGTGACCTGCTTGGGAGGACCGTTTCTCTGTAAGTCATATTATTATGTTGCAATATAATGAAAGAATCAGTATGAATCTGGTATTCAGATACATTGTCATATAGAACCAATACTAGAACTTGTGCATCCTACGGAGCATGCAACTTATATTTTAATCCGCCTTAGTATCGATCGGCTTCAAATACATGAGCCCTTGTTCTGCAGGGGCACACGAATATACCTGTGACCGGGCTATGCTTATCAGTTAGAATAAGTAATATGAACCAAAAGACATGATTGTTCAGCATTCTAATAATGGGTGTATCTCAAAACGTCCCATTCGTATTTGAACCCTGCACATTTCGTCCTATTCTCATTTGGTCCTTCTCGTTTGAACCTTCTCATAAGATCCGAATCGTGTTTTTCGCAACTGGGCCCATTCTCATTTTGCCCGTTCGCCCTACGACCGAATGGCATTACTTCGGCATGCTTCTAACGTTGTTATGCCTTCGCGGCTTTGTTGATGAGCCTTACCTTGCTTGGGCCCCCAACATACCATTAGGTATATGTTATGTGTAGAGGTGCGCACTGAGAATCGTGCAATGACGCGTCCTTCCCTTCCTCTAAGCAAACGAAAAAAAAAAAAGCGATGAACATTTAATTTGGAAACTTTGTTTGAACAGAAATAGCATACATATTAGCAGTGGTTCTCAACCATTGATGTTTCGCGGACCCCTTGTAGAAAGGCGGAGATGATGGAGGACCCCGCTCGGGGTGAGGGGAATAGAAAGGTATAGGCTATCATGATAATGATTTAATAAATGGATATAACTAATTGCTAGTGTAGACTCATCTCATTGACACACGCACGAGAGTAATCACCCAAAAATTGGAACCTTTCTTAACGACGTGAAGAAAGACAACTAATATTGTCGTGCTTGACTGATAAGACATGGCTTCGCGGACCCCTATAGATGCCTTCGCGACCCCCATTTGAGAAACACTGCAATATAGAAGTGGTGGCATTGTCCCAGGTCGAGAGACATTTCGGAATATGATCTGGTTGCGATAAATACTTGGTCTGTTTTATTGTCAGCTAGTAGCTTTTCGCGACGATCTCGACTCACTGCTAAAATCCTTGGCAGAGAGAGTATGCCTGTAGCGTGGCACACACACACACGCACGCACAAAATATATCAATGTACTTATTAATATAACCCCCCCCCCCCCCCCCCCCAAAAAAAAAACTATTTTCGTATAGAACGAGTCAAGTGCGACGGGTCAAAGCGAGATATTTTTGAGAATGGCTGTTTTGAAAAGGGCCAGGTGAAAAGGGCGAAACGAGAACGGACTCAAATGAGGAGGGTTGAAATGCGAAGGACGAAACGGGAAAGGACCAAATGCGCCAGGTCCAAGAGAGAAGATCTTTTTGAGAATGGTTGTTTTGAGAAGGGCGAAACGAGAACGGGCTCAAATGATAACCTCCCTCTAATAATAACCAGAATATTCTGCTTAAGCAGTTCAGGCAAGTTTTTTTGTAATATTGCATTTACTGGTACTGTGAATTCCTTTTTTTAACCGAAGTATCGTTGGGTACAACTTTACTAGACAGGCGAGCTGGTTAATATGACATTCTACAAACCGAGATGGAGGCTTTGAAGACATACGTTTCAATTGAGACGGATGTGTTCGTCCTTCTTTGTAGCCTCCGTCTCGGGTTGTAGAATGTTTTAGCGTTGTGTGCTGACACAAGATCCGAAATGTGTCCAGTTATTACAGAGAACTGATGCCAGTAAGCTGAATCGTTTTTTTTTTTTTCTTTGTGTGTGTACAATCACAATTCGTTTTGATGCAAGGATCAGACTTGTAGGCTCATGGTGTGTGCACGGACTGTCCAAATTAAGGGCGTGTTTCGGCTTGAAAGTATACTATATACGAGGTTTAGAATTTGTCCAGATTGGATTACTAACCGATAGAGAAGTTAAAGAAGGAGCCAGGAACTCCTTAGCTTCTGTTATACATCCTCCTCTAAGAAATCCCACCCATTATTTATGTTATCTTTTTTTTTCAGGCGACTTGTGGCAATGAACCCGCTGGAGGGGTCCCGGCAGTCGTCAAGAAAAGTTGCTCTGGTGCATCTGAAGACGCAGGGAGCCCTCCAAGAGTTCTCGAAGTTCCAAAAGAAGTGGAAAGAAACTTCGGTGCTTGTTTAGATTAATCTTTCTTTACTATTGTTAATATTACAATTTGTTGTATAGGCCAAGATGGTTCTTTTCGAGATGTAGCATGTCAGCATAATTTTTGGTCACATTTTTTTAGGAGACTGCTCACTTTGATCTTTTTTTTATGGCTGAGCTGCCCCCCAAAATATTTGCGGCATGAACTGTGTTTTTTTTTTATTGTGTATCTGCTCCAGTCATTTAAAAGAAAAATAAATGTAAATATTTTTGAAGCAGCAAACTGTTCAGTCTTCTTTGCAATGGGTCCGTTGCTATGGGTTGGAACCAAAAGGACCAAGCGTGAACTTAGTTTGATAACGATTTTTTTACAAATGTTTATCTGCCTTTCTCCCCGTCACTACATGTGCAATGCTCTCTAAACTTGACGTAGCATGTGAACACTTTCTCATGGCATTCCTGGCTGTTCTATTGAGTATATATGTCACAGATTCATTGTTCTGTTTTCAGGATAGTGCTCGCATTAGATACGACAGTTCAAATTTTCCATACATACAAGTTTGGGGAACATTTGCGCATTGCAGGTAATTTTATGTTGCAAAGACGTGCATCAAGTTGCGCCTGCAAACTGCCAGGACATCCCTGTTTTGCATGTCGCATATCAACTTTTTCATGGAGGAGCTTGGCATGCGACATACAAAGCCCGGATGTACTCATGAATAGCGGCAGTAACATAAAATGGGGCGAGTACTATCACAAACAAGACTGAACTTTTTCCGTACGTACAAGAAACGTAACCTGTGTCGTTTTAGACGCATTGGAACATGTAATGTACTTCGTAAAAATGGTACATGTTCTGGCATGGCTTGCAACAGAACATGTGCTGCTGTGTGCCACGATGGTACATTTCCTGTAGCATACAGTACTTGTTCCGTGATGATGGTGTATGGAACTTGTTGTGGCTGCCCATACAGCAACAACATGTCCCGTACTAAAGAAGTATGGAACATGTTCTGTAGTCCGGTAACACAGTACATGTTGTGGCAACAAGGTTAGCATGTATGTGTCCCATATTTTGACAGGAGTTTTTCTAACAGTGTACAGCGTTGTTACCAACAGACGCGCGGCTGTGCTGAGAGGAACAGAAGCTCCTGGAAACGAAAATACAAGGTAGTATACTTTTTGTTGCTTTACGGGAAGTCCTTTCAGGAGGGTGTGCTGCATAGTGCAGTTGTAGCCGGTGACGCACGTCGGCGTGTCATTGACGGCAACTGTACTGAGCTTGCAATAATAGAGCACTAAAGAGCAGCTTCGACGTACTTGTCTGTCGGCTGTTGCGCCAATCAGACGCATTTCGTTAACACACAGCTTCCGTAGGTAGCTAATTCAAGTTCTTAATTTGTTACTCTTTACTCAAGCAAGGTCATTACTTAAAATTTTCATGCACGAAATGAACCATTTTTGGCAGCCTCTGTACAAAACATTAGATTGGTATGTTAAGAAACCGATTTATGCGATTCTTTCAAATGACCGACGATTTCTTTTCCTAACGCGGTATAGGTAGAAGGCTTTACGCTGTGAATAGAAGAGCATTGTGTGCCGTTAATGAGAAACTCAAAAATGTGTTGGTCAGCTGAAAGATGACTACTAATATTCTTAAAGGATCACTCCGGTCAATATTCTAAAACTTGGTATTACGACTGTTTTCAGCTAAAGCAATGCCTTTACAAGATTTTTTTTTTTTTAGCAATATTGTGTACAGTTTTATGAAGATCACGGGTCAAAGCTGGTTTAGGGCGTCTACGGCAAAACCGAAACAATCTGCTAGAGAAATGGCAACACTGATCATCAGCCATACGGCCGCGACGTGACGTCACGAGGTTGCTGCGCAGTGTTCCTTAATTAAAAGCTAACCCACTCGCCGCCTGGTAAAGAGCAGCTGGTCGTATCTTTAAAATCAGTTTTATTAAGTACGCGGCTTCACTTTGACTTCATATTTCGTCTGTGATCATATTTCGTGCTACTGAAGTGATACCAGTCATTTATTTCGGTTTTATTTTCGACCAGAGTTGTCCTCCAAGTTTCATTAGATGTTGACAGGGGCTTTGTCAAATGTAGAAGAACGTGTAGTAGGGCTAGTTGGTGAAATGTTTTAGAGAAGTCAATGAAAATTGCGTCAGTTTGAACATTGAAATCAAAACATGAATAAAAGGCCGCATAAAATGCTGTGAACTGTATTTCGCACACGCATGACTTACGAGATCTAGACTGATGTCCCAAAAAAAAGTTATTTTGTGAGCCCAAAAAAAATGTTTCAGTGAGGTCCATGCTTTAAACGAACGCAGCACTTGTGAGAGGAAGAAAAATGAGGTGCGAATTACTGATTAGCTCGCGATCCCGTCTTGTAAACAAGAATCACGTCAGTTAATCTCTTTATTAATTACATACGGCTTTGTAGTGCCTCAATGATGCTGCAGAGAAAATTATAGGAAATCTGTCTAGTGTTTTACACCACTTTTGAGTTAATTATGTGTATTATAAAACTATAGGTGTAAATTTTAGCATTTTGTTCGCCTTCATATCACCGGCGTGCTCGGTCGTGATAGGATTCATAGGGAGGCGAAAAAACTTGCATGAGTCAAGAATGCTTAGAAGCTACGTTAATAAAAATGGGGCTTTGTAGTCCATAATGGATCACATTTCGATATGATGAAAAAAACACTTCAAGCGACTGTTTGTACCGTTTATGAATGGTTACGATGCAGGCCGCGTAACGTCTGACCATTAGAGCTTTCCTAGATTTAGACACACCAAGCGCATAGAAAGTTGATGTCTCCAAGGTCATTTGGCCTGGCGTTCGACATATATGAACGGATGTACTTGAAACGGCAAAACAGCGTAAGGTCACCTAACGCGATCGATGGTGATTATGCTTCCGACCAGACGATATTGCTTCCGGCCAGACGATATTATTATTAAAGTTAAAGTGAGAGCACCAGTGAACGGTTTTACTATAGTCAGTTTAGTAGCGTTCCTCGGGGACGTTCAGTCCTCTGCGTGGCGCGTTTAGTCTATAGTCTAGACGTATCTTCAACAATTTTCTTTTATTTAGATTGGCCGATTGGACAGGAGTTGAAACTTGCCTCTTTCACTCATTACATTATTTTTAAGTAATAAACTTTGGAAAGAGGAGACAGAAAGGAAAAGCACCGACGACACGGTTTTGTAGGGCCATGTTACTCTGGAGTCTGGTGCGTGCCCGTTAAAAGTGAAAACTGCCTCCCTCCCTCTTCCACCCCCCCCCCCCCCCCCCCAAAAAAAACACCCCCTTTTCTTTCTTCTTTTAACACAAAAGCTTTTTTCTTTTTTTCCTTTTTTTTTGCGTTTGGTGATACCGTGACGTTGTAGTGAGCATTTATGCAAGTCTCTCGGCGAGCCGAGTCATAACGCGGAGTCACTATCTGTTTGTATACGTGGCGCGTTCACACCGTCGTACTTTCCGCCCCACTCCGGCATGCACGAGCGCTGTACAGCGGCGGCGCGTGTTCTGTGCACCTGGTCTGGATGGCCGGCAGGCCCATGGCGCGGCGGTCGGCGCAGGGAGCGCACCAACGCGGCTTGTGCGCGGTCAGCTGATCGACGCCGGGCAGCTCGGCCCGGCACCGGACGCAGACGTTCTCGTCGTCACTGCTCTCTTCTTCACCGCCGGTACTGCTGCCGCCAGGACCTGCACGCAGGAAGCGACACAAGTTAAGGACAGGCAATGATTCCCTCGGTAATTAGCGGGACCTTCTATTTTTTTCAGCCTCTGCTAACTGAACGAAGTGAGAGTTCGCCTGTAGCGAATACGCGAGAGAGTGCTGAGGGTTCATATACGGTCACTGACTAGGTGAGAACTGCGGGTTATATCGCTTTCCTGACTTTGCTATCTCTGTATAAGTTGATATGCACCTTTATTAATCTATGCCTACGTAAATGTGTGTCTTATGCAATCTTGTGCGCAGCAAGGACGAGGACAAAAACGGAGAACAAGGACACAACGAGGCTATTGTGTTGTGTCCTTGTTTTCCCCTCTTGTCCTCATCCTTGCTGCGCACTCAGGGATTACTTTCGTCATTCTTGTCCAGCTCGCTTGCACCTTTGCATTTAATTGCATTATAATTATAACCTTAAATTGCAAGCTTCACCCTTGTTGGTGTCCGACTGGTGGCAGCTGATAAAACCCGTTTGCTCTACTGACGTCTAACCCCTGGTTAGCTCAGTTGGTAGAGCGCTCCACTTGTAATGGAGAGGTCCCGGGTTCGATACCCGGACCAGGTGGATTTTTTCGGTCGCTCACCAGTCACCTAGCTGTGTTTGGAAATTTATGTTTGTCCTTTGTCCCTCTTGTTCCCCTACTCCAGGGATTACTTTCGTCATTCTTGTCCAGCTCGATTGCACCTTTGCATTTAATTGCATTATAATTATAACCCAAACCACCACTCTTCGTAAATGTGTGCTTCCTGTCTCCTATTCAGTCTCTCTGCCTGGCACCCTATATGCGTTTAAGTGTTTTTGTTTGTCCATACGTCTCCGTGAATCTCTCCATCTCTCTCGTTGCTAATTTCACCTCGAATGTTTATACCATAGTACACATTCGACAACAAGAGTAAAACAAACACACGTACAAAAAATATTAAACGGAATAAACACACGCGTATACACTGAAGCCGACGTGTGGGTCTTGAATAACCGACAATATAATTTTTTTTTTTATGCCGCAGTCACGCTGTTTACAGCTCATACAAAAGATGTGTTGTTCACGCAAGCATGTTCGAAGCACACTTGCTTCATTTGCTTCGAGCATGCCTGCAGACAGTTTTTTGTCGGGACCGTTATACGAGGAAGACTTTGGCCTCAGGTAGGTTTTGCTGACTGTCTTTTGTACGATGCATTAGCATTGTGTCCGTGGTTTTAGAATTACGCAAGGGCCGGATAAGAGCAGCCTCGAACGAAAAAGGAAGAAAAAGAAAAAGAAAAAAAAGCGGCAATAAAGGGGGAAAAAAACGCGACGATAGAAGAAGGAGCTGAAACGAGAGAAATCGACGAAAGCGAGCGCCAGTTGATGAGAAACACCCCGCAGTGTAGTGGCATCATTCCGCCTAACGTCTCCGAGCCAGTGAGAACTTCCGTCGACCCGCATCCACGTGGTAAAGGAGGCCACCGGCAGGTATACATACGCCAACGGACAAGATTTTCGGGCGACGAGTGGTAAAGACGCGAAGCGCGAAGGAACACCGCGACACCGAAATCAACCGCAGCCTAACGCGGACCACGGTCTGCGCAAAAAGAGGAAACTCGTCCGCTACGCTCATCAGAGAGACCGTTTCCGCGCGCGCTCGACGTAACGGGTCTAACTCGATTCGGAAGGAGAAAATCATCTCAATTACTGCGCAGACGCGGAAAAACCCGTGGGACGCACGGGGGAGGGCAGGTGTATCCAGTCGGCTCCACCGGCGAACACACACAAACACCGGCCGCGGAACTCCCTCTCGCGTTTCTAACGGTGCTCCGTGCCGAGCCAGAAAGGAAGGAGAGAAAGGGGTGGAACATCCCACTCCTGTATACGGAGCCGGCAGCGCACGCGGACCAAATGATCCATCCGCGAGATTGGCGGTTGGTGCTGGGTGGAGGCAGGCGCCGGCCCTTCCTAGCGTTCCGTACCCCCTGTTTGTGTGTTTTCTGCTTCTCTCGCCACCCCTCGGCGCGGGTGTCGGTGAGAAGGCTAGGTGCGCGCGGCGGTGCCATTCAATATTTCACGCGTGCCGTTCTTACGACGCGCTTCATGCAATGGTTAGTAAGCCCCCCCGGTTCCTGGAGCAACGGGCGGCCGGGAGCGGTGGATGGAAAAAGGTAACGGGTTGTACCGACTACTCTCCGGCTCTGCGCGCCGTTAGCGAGGGTCGTGCCGGGCATAACGGAGCAGCAACAATCCACTGCCATCTTCTTTTCTTTCTTTCTTTTTGCCTCCATTCCCGGGCAACGAAGCCGCGCTTGTCCCGCCGTCTCATACATACGGAGCTGGAACGCATCGAGTTTATGGCGTTGATAGACGGCCCGGGGGATGTTCTATGAACCGGTGAACTGGCCCTTAATGAGATATCATTCGGAATATCGTCAAGCACACACTCTACGTAATCCGGTTTGTCCACTTTTCCGCAAAGCACTCGGGAGAGCGAATCGCCGCAATTTGCTGAGAGAGCTGGGCAAAATATAACTATAAAAAAAAAGGGCTTTGTTTTGACACTCAGCATGATGTGAGCACGTGAGACGTCAAGCTCGCTGTCACAGCGCAGACTGATTACTGTTTTTCATGTTTAAGCATATTTTAAGCTTCGTTATTTGCAGAGCTTTCACCGTTTATCGCAAGCGATTAGCTCTCATATCGCGCTTTCCAGGAAAGTAAATGCACTAGATACCTTGAAGTGTACAAAGTGCCCTCCCACCCCCTCCTCCAAAAAAAAAAAGAAAAAAATTGGCAGTTTTCTTTTTTTAGTTTAATACTAAATTATGGGTCGCCGAACCCTAGTTATCCGTCGAGATGTATACAGTGAAACCCGTTTAGAACGAACCCACGTACAGCAAATTATTGTCGATATCGAACTCACAAAAAAATTGAAATAAAAATGTATTTAAAACTTTTACGTGCATTTTTATAACTTTTTATAACGAACAATCTCTTGGCTATATCGAACTTTTTCCCCCCGGGAAGGCTTCTAAAAACGCGCAAACAATCCTCTTCTAGCCAGTTTCTCTCCCCCCCCAACCCCCCAACCACCCTTCCCCCCATAAAATAATATAGAAAAAAAACAATAGATTATAAAACCTCTGGCCGCAAACAGAAATGAGAGGAAAAAAAATCCACGGGGGCAAAAAAAAAAAAAAAATTCAGCGCAAGGCGGTTACAAAGAGAAGCGATTCAGAAGGGGAGATAAGCTAAAAAAAAAAAAAAAAAAAACTCTGCACGCATGCGCAAAACATACAGCAAATGGATTTCTTGAGTGGTAATTGTGGCACGATTTAATTTGTTTACTTTTGGCGATATGACCCGTGTATAACGAACGCATCGCGGAAGTTCGCTGTATAGGAAGCTTTTGCTATATCGAACTACTTGCTCGAACTGGTCGTGGCGTTTCCTGCTGTTCGTTATAAACGGGTTTGACGTAGCAGTAGTTGTCCGAAGAATGGTGCCAAAGTTGCTAAACCAACCGTTAGCTTATTAGAAAAGTTACGCGTTATTTACTAAGAATTTCAATGGAAAAATGGCGGCCGATGTTCAGAAACTGTTCAGAAAATGAGGCATATATAGTGAATAAGATAACATCTAGTTCTGAAACTTTTGCTACATTACGGCGTAAAATGAGCTTTGGGCAACGCAGTTTATTTTGGCAATAAAAAATACATTTTTCTTTCTTTTCTTGACGCATGACGAAAGCGACAAAACGTTTTTTTCATTTTTTTTCTAAAATGCTATTAAGTGTAGAGAGCCCAGCGTGACCACCTGAACCGTAATTCTCAGTGACACACCCCAGGCTTCAGGTCCCGGTGATAACGGTTTCTCTTTATTATAATTTAATCCTCATCTCTTACAGAGTGATCCTCCGTCGATCACAGAAAATTGCCTCCCCAGCGCTCTTAAAAAAAAAAAAAAAAAAAAAAAAAAAAAGTACACTTACGTGTTTTTTTGTTTTTTTTTTAGGGTGTGACAACAAAAGGACATCTTTCCAGTAGTGGCTAACCTCACCATACTCGTTGTCACTTAAAGAGTGAAGAAAGCTCTGCACATTATTCATGCGCTGCGCGAAATTTTAAGATTTGGTTGTCGAAGGGGGAAATTAGTAACTTTACGCGAGGAGCCGGACGTTTTCCACTACGCTTCTTGAGGGGAACACGACTATAGAGGAAGAGAAGATTTGTGGAGAGTGCATCGTCAATTCAAGACCTCTCGTTCACATACCGTGATTTAGCACAAAATATTTGAGAAAGAGAAAATTCGTCGAGAAAAACAAACGCATCCGAACGCGAACAATATAGTAGTTAATATTATTATTTTATTTTATTGTGTTTTGCCAGGAAAATAAATCCGCCAGGTGTAGTGCTCTCATTCGCTAGTTTATTTGGTTGTTATTCAGCGCCGTATACGCCCCAGTTTCAGCCGCCCTGAACCGTAGCACCGCACATTCGCACGCGCCTTACGCGACGATAATCCTAATCACCGCTGGCTTGGGGTTAATCTCCCCTCACTCGATCTTTTATGTTTTCTTTACGAAATATTTTTGTTAGGGCAAATAGTGCCGTGAATATCACGGGAAAACTCTGCATCCGAATTCGCAGTAAACCTTTGGAGTGAGCTAGATGGTTTAAGATTACACAGGTATTAAAAAGCCCGCGTCCGTTTTGCTGGTGTCTAGTCCTTGTTCCTGTCTCCTTGACGCCTTTTAATAACATCATAATTAAGAGATCTGGCCTTTTCTCGCCGGTTTATCACGGTGCTCAAGTTTACATGGAGAAATTTCAGTGCGTAATTTTTTTCTCTTGGGAAAAATCTTTTTTGGCCTTTCCACCCTGGTGAAGAAGGAAGACCAGCGAAGCTGTACTATGGTGGGAATGAAGTAATGGCCGGCCGCAAGTCGGCAAGCCAGAGTGGAAAGGCTGGAGAGGTTGCCGCCATCTATGAACGACGGCGGC